TTTACTTTAAAATGACACAGTATTATTAAGCAATATCACAAGTATTTTAAAATCAGTTCCAAACTGATTTTTTTTCAACTCAAAATTGTCTGGGAGCCATATGCCGTCACCGGAAGAGCCATATATGGCTCGCGAGCCATAGGTTCCCGACCGCTGCAATAGAGGAAGCTCCAGCGAGGCGCTGTCAAGGGAATTTGGCCTACTCTTCCACGATGGCTAGAAATCTTGGAAGAGGTGTGGGTACCCCACACTTTACCCCACACCACACGAGACTTGCCGATCGACTGGCGTAGCCATGTACATTGCTGAGTGGACAGAAACGGGAGGGGATGTAAGAAACGTCAAGTGCCACGCCGGGAGATCGGATCGAACCAATGGGCCTTTCATTGCAAGTTTCAGTGTGCTGATATCTACAATTGACACTACGGACACATCCCAATAAATGCTTTGTCATTATCCATATATTAAAAACCTGTGAGCCCGTGGTCGAAATTCCAAATTTCCATGGTAAACCACACGGTAATGAACGTTATCTCATACCACTTAGCAAAGTCATCTTTTGCCCGTGGTGGAAATTCTAAATTTCCATGGTAAACCACAAGGTAATGAACGTTATCTCCTCCCACTTGGAAAAGTAATCTCCAGCCCGTGGTGGAAATTCCAAATTGCCACTGTAAACTACACGGTGATTAACGTTATCTCATACCACTTAGCAAAGTCATCTTTTGCCCGTGGTCGAAATTCCAAATTGCCATGGTAAACCACAAGGTAATGAACGTTATATCATCCCACTTGGCAAAGTCATCTCCAGCCCGTGGTGGAAATTCTAAATTGCCATGGTAAACTACACGGTGATTAACGTTAGCTTTATTTTTGTGATTTCGAAAACGTTATGGTTTAGCCATATTTGTTTGTTGTAGTACAAAGTTAGACTGATAACTTTAATCTAAATTGTCTTATGGTTGTTATTGTTTGACTTGCATCCCACTGGGATTTTTGCACACAGCGTTGATCTACGGTACTTTTTCTGGAAGACTTTTCTGTTTTTTCCTGGATTTATCTGTTGCGCGTAGTCACTTTAAGATGTTTCTTGTTCATATTTTTAAATCCTTTATATTAAGTTCGCTTGCTTGCTTACGACCGTGCAAATCTTTCGGTCGTTTTTTAACCCACTTCCCGTGATCCAATCGAGCTGACATTTTCCACACAGACTCGTTGTGCGTGATAATGTTCGTGAAAAAAATGTTCCAAAATTTTACACTTGTTAGGACAAAAATATTATATTTAATTACCAATTGCTTAATGGTGCAATGCAATCATCTGACCCATAGGTGGCAGCCATCTCAAGCCAGAGGACGAGAGGACTCTAGCCGCCACGCATATAAAGGATTTATAGTGAAAAACTTTGTTTTTACGGGTTATACTTGTTGTTTGTTGCGGTTGCACCCGATTCAAGAGCTGCATGGCTCACAGGGCTATACCTAATACATGAACTGAACTGATCTCCTCCCACTTGGCAAAGTCATCTCCAGCTTCGGAGTGAACAGTCACTGCTATGCTGGTCTTGGGACAGGGACACATCACCAGAAGTTGATGATGGAGCATTGGTCGAGAATAACGGTGAACAAGGTAGGGAAAACATTGCCTGCAAGGACGTCCAACAGAGATAGAGCGGTGAGATGGTTAAAACGCGTCCCGTTGCCGTGAGAAATGCCAATGAGTGTGGGGAGGGCCTTCCTCTAGGAATCAATCGATCGTGGCCGATGATTATTGGGTGCATGTCACCTAGCCCTCAACAACAACTAAAACACTTTAATTCATGAACATTACAAATTTACCGTCGTTATAATACTGCACACACAAACGTGCTTTTAGGTCCAAATACATTCAAATATGTATTTGGACCTAAAAGCACGTTTGAAATGACACGCGAGACTCAGGATGCTTTCTAACCTACAGTGAATTGTATCACAGAGCATGGCAGGGATCAGTCGACTGACAATAGACTGAAAGTTGAAATCACCTACAGTACTTTTTTTGTCAATTATTCTGGCCCCTTTATAAATAAATTACAGCTGCCCCCACATCCTGCCTACTGAAGGCAGGAAACCCCCGACAAGCCACGCCCAGAGTCACAAATCTGTAGACGTCACAAAGCCCCGCGAATCAGAATATAATTTTTTCTGGGGGAATCCGATGACCAAAAACCTCTTTTTCACAGATGTCCGATTAGTCAATGGCACCGATAATACTGGTAGGAACCTCCTGGTTACACCAGCCCACAGGGGATTATTGTGTCCGTCGTGCAGGGAGGGGCTGGGTGGGGAGGGGAGGGTGGGGAGGGGCTGGATGGGGAGGGTGGGGCTGGGTGGAGAGGAGCTGGGTGGGGAGGGTGGGTAGGGGCTGGGTGGGGAGGGTGGGGCTGGGTGGGGAGGGGCTGGTCACCCCGTGGTGCCCTTATAAAACTCAACGTTTAACCTACTCACGCCGGATTGTGCCCGCCCTCACAGTCGGCCATATTTGCGGAATACACCACGCCGCCGTTGACCCTGGCCATTGACCGAGCAACCCAACGTTCCTACCAGCTCCCTCCGCAGGAATGTGTTCGGCAGCGTAATCGATTACTTAATAATCGGATATCTCGACTCTTAACCACAAGCCAAACAGAGCTGCACTGCGCCCTGCTAGCCAGCAGGGGGCAGTACAGCCACGTGTTTACACTGGTCTGGAGTACAAATTTACTGAGATGTGGGTGTTTCAAGAAGAAAGAAAACCCACGTGTAGATTTACCAGAATTGACAGCAACCTTTATCAACCCACTGCTGGATCAGAATCAGAGTATTTATTTATACTGGAGGAATCCCATTAGCTAGTTTTCACAGACGTCCCATGCCGTGTTGGTCACGGCGTTTGTTTGACCATATTTCACCACGCCGAACAGGGCTGGTTAAGTCAATGAAGGAGGGGGGGGGGCTGGTTACCGTTCAAAAAAACAATCGCCACTAATTGTTAGCCATGGCTGGGAATCGAACCCTGATGACCGGGTTAATATCACATACCTGTCAAAAAACCCTTATCAGTGCCCACCTTATTACAGACCAATTCAGACCTTATTGGTCACCCCGTGCCCTTATACATCTCAACGTTCAGTCCCATCACAAGGGAGATGCACAAACAAAAATACTAAATTATGTTTTTTTTCTCCCCCGTATTGAAACGGCTGTACGCTGTATGGACATTAAAAGTGAATTTCCCTCTATAAGAATACGGGGTAAACCGTATGGGTTGACAGGTATGATATCACAGTGCGTGACCCGCTGTCACCGCTCCACGCCACTCATGAATTCGCGTCCTTTATTGAATAAAGGTGACACCATTGAGACCATGGTGACAAAGAGACACCACTCATGAACATACAAAGAGCCCATTTGTCACTCCACTGCTGGATGAGTGCCTTCTCTCTATAACGCGTGCGTGGTTTCTTGCAATCACTCAATATTGCACCCCAAAGCTCAACAAAATTAATATTTTTACGAATAAATTGTCTTAACTGTCAGAATTTCCTGGATATTGATAGATATGGCTGGTGCTATGTTTTTTTTTGTAATTACAAGATCGTTCCTGCTGAGACCACTCTTGCTGCAGTACTTTTCAATCTGTCTTGCACGTTCCAGCGAGACATTGGCGCAGTTCCACGATTTTCAGACAGATATTTAATGCACTTCCACAGCTGCTAGTGAGTGGCTACGAGAGGGCATTTGGCCTACTCTTCCACGCCAGCCAGAAAGTTTCGAAAGAGGCGTTGAGCAACCCACCACAATCAACTTGGCGACCGACAGTGCTTGCAACGCCATTCACATTCATGATCAATTTGGTCGACACAAATGAAAAATTATTCATAATCTCTATGCCACAATCTTCATAACATCTCCATTATTGTTTAGTCGTTACCAATCAACATCACTTGCTCCAAAGGCAAAGATCCCCCCCCCCTTTTTAAAGCCTTTAACACCTTTTAGGGCAAGTGCTGTTGAGCGAGTAGCACCTACAAAGGCCGGCACGACAACACGAACGGAAGAGTGGAAAACGCCACGCCGGATTTGCCTCTCCCCAGCTCTTAATGCTGTTCACACCACCACACCAAGCACTCGTTTCAAGTCTGAGCCGACCTAGGGGAGGCCCGGGATCGTCTCGAATATTCGCCGGTTCGGCGATTTGTGCCAACGCACTGCTGGATGAAGGGGGGACGGCTTTATCCACGACATGTGCGTTGTATGGGGGGGGTTCTGACCATACTTCACCACGCTGGTCAGTGCGGGGTTGAACACGTGCCAGCATGACCCTTGCTGTGCTTTGAACCCCGCTCTGAACCCAGCGTGGTGCACTACGTATCCACTGCGGTACAGTACAACAATGTCATTGACTGCCCTGCCCTGTGTCACACACACCAGTGCCTATAACACCTGTTATTCATTTTTCGATTTAAAGCTTTCGTGACTGCAGGGATTCATCTTCTTGATTCTTTCGGTAAAGTCACGTAGAAGGAAAATAATAAAAATAAAACATTACAATAATGATTTGCCTTCTCGACAGACCTGTTCTCCACCTGAAGACGGCTGCTTGCGTTGTGGCCGAAACGTCGTGAGAATAATTTTATTTTTATTATTTTCCTTCTACGTGACTTTACCGAAAGAACCAAGAAGATGAACCTGTTATTCATTCAAGTTGTCAGTAACACCACGACTCAATGCACTCTACAGCAGCACTGTTCTGTGATGCCCAACAACTTTCACCACCGCTCTGAACCCAGCGTGGTCCTTCACGTGGGAAGTGGAGGCGGTTGAGGATGCCTTCATCCAGCAGTGGATTGAACTTGAGAATCGCAGATGTTGGGGGGGGTGGTGGACATGTAATGCACATGTGTGTGTGTGTTTAATACTCGTGCAATAAACGACTTCGCGTTTTATTAATGGAAGGATAAAATTAAGAGAGAAACTCACAAGCATGCGACGTCTCCTTCCGTCCAAACGCATTTCCCGACTAATCATCGTTTAACGCAAACTCACAACAAAAGGGCTCCCACCACAAAATTAATTAAAAATATTTCCACCGTCCTGGGATTTTCACGCGCCCGTCCGCCTCGCCATTGTTGTCACTGCGAGTTGACGAGAGGGACAATCGCCGCCACCCTCTCTCTCCTCCTCCTCCTCAACAACAACAACTCCACAACTCTATCCCTAGCCACAGCTCCCTCCCCAACAACACCACCACCGCTCTCTCTCGCTGTCCCCGCGACCACGGCAACGAAAACCACGCGGGTCACTCAAACAATGCCCCGTCAATGTGCGCCCAGAACGAGCGTCGCCATTGGGCACGTGGCGTGGAAACTCCTCCCACCCACCACGTGACGTGGCGACTGCTGAGTGGCCAAGGAGCCAAGAAGGCGCGCGCCTCCTTGGCCACACCCCCCCGGCCCCCCAACCCCCCCAGCACACCCCTCAGCCTCCCCAGCCTCCCCAGCCCCCCCCTCAGCCTCCCCAGCCCCCCCCCCCAGCCTCCCCCCCAGCCCCTCCCCCAGCCCCCCCCAGCCTCCCCCCCAGCCCCCCCAGCCTCCCCCAGCCCCCCCCCCAGCCCCCCCCCCCAGCCCCCCCCCAGCCTCCCCCCAGCCCCCCCCAGCCTCCCCCCCTCCCCCCCAGCCCCCCCCCAGCCTCCCCCAGCCCCCCCCCCCAGCCCCCCCCAGCCCCCCCCCAGCCCCCCCCAGCCCCCCCCCAGCCTCCCCCCAGCCTCCCCCAGCCTCCCCCAGCCCCCCCCCAGCCCCCCCCCCAGCCCCCCCCCAGCCCCCCCCACCCCCCCCCCAGCCTCCCCCAGCCTCCCCCCCAGCCCCTCCTCCAGCCCCCCCCCCCCAGCCTCCCCCCCAGCCCCCCCCCCCCAGCCCCCCCCAGCCCCCCCCAGCCTCTCCCCCAGCCCCCCCCCCAGCCCCCCCCAGCCCCCCCCCCAGCCCCCCCAGCCCCCCCCAGCCTCCCCCCCAGCCTCCCCCCCAGCCCCCCCCCCAGCCCCCCCCCAGCCTCCCCCCCAGCCCCCCCAGCCTCCCCCCAGCCTCCCCCAGCCCCCCCCCAGCCTCCCCCCCAGCCCCCCCCCAGCCCCCCAGCCCCCCCCCAGCCCCCCCAGGCCCCCCAACCCCCCAGCCCCCCAGTCCCCGCGAGGGCGGGGTACATTGTGGGGAAGTTTACCCCCGGGGGGGAAACACGAGTATAAGACGCACCTTTGTGAAAGTTAAGACTCACGCGTACCGGAGTATAAGACGCACCCTTGGGAAGTTAAGACGAACTCTTCCAACACAAAATTACTGGAGCCAAGTTACGCAAAAATGTGGTCTCATGCATATCTACCGGATAACAAGACGCACCCTGGAAAATAAGCCGCACATCAGACTGGAGCACATCGTCATAAACACATGCACATTTTGATCTGCCACATATACCGGCTAATAAGCTGCACTCCCCGATTTATTTTTTCACATTGCACAGGGAAAAAGGTGCGTCTTATAACTCGGAGAATATTGTCGCGGTTAGGAAGGTCACCTTGAAGATGGAGCGATGAAATTAGCCGGCGTGCCGGGTGACAGATGAATCAAGATCAGAACACGGCATTACCAGAGTTATATCGTGCGGAGGCTACATTTTTTGGCTTCAGATTCACGAATCGAATAGTGAGAGGCGAATGTAAAAATATATCGATCGTGTCAACATTCTCGCAAATGTTCTGCTTTTGATTCACGGTCTGAACGACGACGAGACATAGCCCGGTGAACGTGGAACGTTTGTCCGACGGTTCGAACCACGTGCCAACATTGGCACGTTACCTGTTCATCCACGATATCCTCAATGTCCAAACCCAAATGAGTATTTTTATTTACTTATTTATTAGCAAATTTAGACAACTGCCGTCGGCACACGATGGCCGACTCTTGCAAATTGACAGTGGCGGCCGCTGGATTCGAACCGTAAATCTCGCGACCGCTGGGTACCACGTCAACACCCCATTGGAATGCGGTGCAGATGAGATGAACAATCAGTTTAACACGTAGGCTTTCGCGACCAATATTATTCATAATCAACGTTTTTGGGTTTAGATCGCGTTATTTATAAATGTGTCGTAACCCTCCACCACCCGACACGGCCAATCGGTAAGAAAGTGTCACGTTGACAAAAGACAAATAGTTCACTGCTTTAGCCCACCGGAGTGTTGAAGCGTGAAACCACACCATTTACAATCTTTGCACCTGATGAGTTAATGATGACGTCACCCTGCTGCTGCTCTATATAAGAATGGGAGCCAGAGCAGAGCCTCACCATTCTGGCGAATTGCCCGATGATGCTGGATGCAATTACCAGCGAAACGTCGTACTACTCAAATTGTAAATGTTGTGGTTTCACGCTTCAACACACCGGTGGGCTAAAGCAGTGAACTACTTGTCTTTTGTCAACGTGACACTTTACTGATTGGCCGTGTCGGGTGGTGGAGGGTTACGACACATTTATAAATAACGCGATCTAAACCCAAAAAGTTGATTATGAGATGAACAATCACACGCGGCGCTGCAGACGAGACGGACAATACCAACACCGCGTGTCCTCGCTCTTCAACCGATCCAGGAGGGCACGCGTGCAAGACGCAGGCACATGTCTAACCAATCACCGCACTCGCGTACATATGCCGTATATTATTTGGTTCTTTCGGTAAAGTCACGTAAATAGATACAAATTAAGTAAATAAAATTTAAAATACTAAACGTTTCGATCACAACACAATCGATCGTTATCCTCCTGATGACGATCGCTTGTGTTGTGATCAAAACGTCTAGTTTTTAGTTTTTATTTTATTTACTTATTTTATTTACTTAATTAAAAAATGTAAGTAAATAAAAGAAAAAAAACTAGACGTTTCGATCATCAGGAGGATGACGATCGCTTGTGTTGTGATCGAAACATCTAGTTTATTTTAATTTTATTTACTTTAAAATTTTCTATCTACGTGACTTTACCGAAAGAACCAAAGAATATGCATTCATGCAGTCACGAAAGTTTTAAGTAAAACAAGAATGCCGTATATTTTTCTATATTTTATTTTTTATATTTTATACGTGCACACGCAAAGCCAAGACATTTTATTACGGTATAGGAATCAGTGTTCGCACGATCACCAGCACAACAGGCACATCCATTGAAATACTTGGGACCATGAACTCGTTTCTATTTTAATTAATCCACGTTACAGAGAACTTTACAGGGCAACTTCTATTCTATTTAGGATCCATCAAGCGCCGTTTCCCAGGGCACTTTTACCAACGCAAGCCGACGGCGGCACACAGGTTGTTGTTGTTGTTTGACTTGCATCCCACTGGGATTTTTGCACACAGCGTTGGTGTACGGTGCTTTTTCTGCAATATTTTGCTGTCTTTTCTTGGATTTCTGTTTGCACTTAGTCACATATTCACTTTAAGATGTTTTTGTTCATGTTTTTTGTTTGTTGCGGTTGCACCCGATTCAAGAGCCGAATGGCTCACAGGGCTATACCTAATCAATGAACTTGAACTTGAACGGGAACAAGGAAGGGGTTGAGTGGAGCGGCTGTCAGTGAGGGCGGTGGCGAAAGGGATGGAGGCACAGGTGCCTGGGAACGGATCCGCTGATGTCGCATTGGCAGGGAAGGAGGAACACGGCGGAGTGTGGCGGTGAATGAGGGCGAAAGATGGGTGCGACGTGGGTGAGAGGCGGCGGGGTATGGGGGCACACGCGTGAGATGAGTGATCATGGTTGGGCATGGATGAGGGTTGGTGGACGGGGTGGTAGGGGCAGAGGTCTGTTGGCCGGATAGTTGAGCTGATTGAGGAGCACAGCGGATGGCTGGGGGAGAGATGTGCACACGTAACATAAACAACACTCGTCAAAAACACTATGAACTTTAAAATAAATATATATAACGTGACGTTTCGGGCAATGACCCTTCTTAATTACACATCGAGAGGCTACGACTCTCTACGTGCTGCCCATATGGACGTGCACACACGGTGCATTCAAAGTCACACACACATGTTCAAACACACAGACGCGTACACTGCGCTATGAGGATGACACGAACACAGCTGGCTACGTACGGTGCGAAAGAAGTTCAACATCGTACAACACGCAACGTAACGTCACTACGATTCCGCGCCTCGTCTGTTGCTATCCCGGCCCTGGTCGCAAACCAAGCGAACGCATTCGAATCCGCGACGCCTGCAGAGCTCCTCTTCATTCGCGAGCCCGTTTCGCCTCCGTCATCTGCACGACCACCCCTGCCTCCTGCAACACAAGTCACGCGCACCGTCAACGCCGGTCCCAGACTGCGATGTAAGTTCGACTCCCGGACCAAGGCGCAAGCGCACGGACGCCGGTCGTGGTTGTCAACTGCCGTCCTAAATCCGTGGGGTCTCCCCTAGATTGGCTCAGCCTAAATTGTGTTACCTGGTCGCGTGCGCGTGTGTGTGTGTGTGTCGCTGTGCAGTGGTTAGCCACCACCAGTTACGAATGTCTGAACCGGTCCCGTAGGTCGACTCAGCCTTAAAATGAGTTCCTGGTGCGGTGTGTAAAACATATGCGTTAGTGAGACAAAGACGGCCGCGGGCGTGGTGATGGTCACCCCCCCCCCCTACTCGTGAATCCGTTCCGTCCTTCCTTAACAGCGCTTGCCCCACAGCCCATTAAAGGCTATACGGAGTATCTTTGTCTTTGTATGGGAAGCGGTGTCGCGCAGAGTTCGATTTCCGCTCACGACCAATAGCGGTGGGAAAATCCGAAAGTCCTGGGCCTCTCCTAGGTCGACTCAGCATTTAAACTAGTAGCCGGTGTTGTGTGTAAGACATCGAGCACTGCCCAACACGCGAACACAGCAACGCAAGTTCGAATCCCGGCCGCGGCGCACATCCAACATCGTTGTTATATTCATCGTGCAGGAGTTGAACTCGCAAACTTCCCATCGCTGAGTCGCCTGGCCGGTTGTCATCTTCTTCCTAACCCTGGAGATATGATGATGAAGATGAAGATACTAACGAGGAAGCTGATGATGACAATTATAGTGAGAATGATGACGATGATGATGATATCGATAATTATGACAACGACGATGATGACGACGATGATACTTACTCTTAGTTCTTTCGGTAAAGTCACGTAGGTAAAAAATGAAATTAAAATTAATAAAAATAAAATAAAAATCACGACGTTTCGG